TAGGAGTGTAATTGCTAGGTCAGATGGTAACTCTGGAACTGCCAATCTTTTCCAAAGGGAAAAGCAATATTGAGGGTCTAATTTCTCCACATTGTCACCAATGCTTCTTATTGTCTGGCATTGTGACTATTGCATCTTTGTAGGTTAAAGTGATATCTCATTATGATTTTGAGTTGCATTTCCCTAATGACTTATGATGCTATCTTTTCATATGCTTTTCAGCCTATTGAACATTTTTATATTTTTGAAGAAAAGGCTGTTCCAATCTTTTGCCCAATTTTATTTATTTTTTAAAAGCAGCTTTTTTTTTTTTTTAAAAACACACTTTTTATTGATTTCAGAGAGGAGAGGAGAGGGAGAGATAGAAACACCAATGATGGGAGAGTCTCACTGATCGGCTGCTTTCTGCATGCCCCACACTGAGGATGGAGCTCACAATCCGGGCATATACCCTGACCAGAAATCGAGCCATGACCTCCTGATTCATAGATCTACACTCAGTTACTGAGCCACACCAGCTGGGCACATCTTACTTAAAACAAACAAACAAAAATCCTCTGATTTTTGACATACCAGTAGAGCAAAGGAGGAGAGAGAAACATTGATTGGTTGCCTGTGGTACGAACCCTGAGCACCCTGAGCACCCAGGGATCAAACCCGCAACCAGGGAATGTGTCCTGACTTGGAATTGAAACTGTGACTTTCGTTGTATAGGACAACATTTCAACCAAGTCATACCGGCTAGGGCTTACCCACTTTTAAATTGTGGTGTGTGTGTGTGTGTGTGTGTGTGTGTATTTAGTGTTTTTTTAAAAATTGATTTTAGATAGGAACAGAGAGAGAGAGAGAGAGAGAGAGAGAGAGAGAGAGAGAGAGAGAGAAAGAGAGGTAAAAGAGATACATCTATTGATCAGTTGCCTCTTGTATGCACTCTGACAGGGAATCAAACCCACAACCTGGTATATGCCCTGACCAGTAGTCAAACCTTGACCTTCTGGTACACTGGAGGACGCTCCAACCAACTGAGCCACACCGGCCAGGGATTTTGTGTTTGGATTGTAAAAGTTGTTTCTATATTCTGGCTTTTCTCCTGCATTCAGTTTTTAAAATGAATTCAGACTAATTTCATCAACTTCCACCACCTCCTCCTTCTCACCTCCTAAGTTATTGGGTATTTTCCAATTAAAAGTAATTTCTTGGTCTTTGAGAGTTTGTTCATTTTCTAAAGCTGTGTTATGATGCAAGCCTAGGCATAATCAAGGTGCATCTCGGCTTCTGCCTTTAGTATGGTCAACGGCCAGTGTCCAGGAGTCAATCTGACATTTAAAACACACGCACTACACCCTACCTCGTGAGCCAGTCCCACTGGGACAAAGCAAGGGGAAGACAGCTCCCAGGAACGCCAAATGGAGGTGGATCGGACAAACACACTGGACTTAAACCACAGAAACAAACACAATCTTCTTTTTTTATGTTAATCCTCTCCCGAGGACACTTTCTCCATTGATTTTTAGAGACAGTGAGAGAGTGCAGAGAGAGAAAATTGATGTAGGAGACATTGATTGGTTACCTCTCCCACACACCCTGACGGGGCCAGGGAGTGAACCTGCAGCTCAGGTACGATGAGCCCTTAACCAGGAATGAAACCCGGGACCCTTTGGTGTGCTGGCGGATGCTCTAACCGTTAAGCCACACAGGCTAGAGCCGTGGTCGGCAAACTGAGGCTCACGAGCCACGTGAGGCTCTTGGGCCCCTTGAGTGTGGCTCTTCCACAAAATACCACGGCCTGGGCCAGTCTATTTTGAAGAAGTGGCATTAGAAGAAATTTAAGTTTAAAAAATGTGGCTCTCAAAATAAATTTCAATCATTGTCCTGTTGATATTTGGCTCTGCTGACTAATGAGTTTGCCAACCACTGGCCTAGGGCAACGAGCACAATTTTAAGGGCTACCCACAGCTGTAGGCCATGTCACAGGAGCGTCAGAGACAGGTGGGAGTGGAGGAAGGCGGCACTGCTTCACCCAGTGAAACATTTCTCCTGAGGACATGTCACTGTGCTCATCGGAAGACGGGGGTGGGGTTAGCGGGGGGCTGTTAATCGAGTCACTTCTGACGTTCCCTATCCATTGGCTAGAAATACATCACTTTTGGAGGATGCTAAACTCAGTGATAGGCAGCGATTCCCTTTCTCTCTCCATTGCTAAAGTACAGCAGAAAGTAGTTTTTCTACCAGATGTGCAATTGGTCTCCCACTTCATTGAACCAATTTAAGTCACTCGATTTCCTTTGTAAAATTGATTTTTCTCTCCATATTCACATTGAGGGCCCTTCACATTTTCAATCTGTTTGGGCAGCGTGGTGGAGAGAAGGCGCACCTGAAAGTCAAGAGGGCTGGTTTCTGACCAGCTCCCCCATTTAACACACTCACATCAGCTTCAATTTTGGAAAGTATTTTAAAGGAATCATCTAAAGTCACTTGGCTTCAAAATTTAGGTTAAAAATATCATCCAATTTCTCAGCATTAACAGATTAAAAGAAAAAAAAAAAAAAAAGACTGCCCTTGCACCAATTTAAAAGGCCCTGGAGTATCCACGCGTCTGGGATATCAGTAGGAGCAAAGTACATCACACTGGGTTTCCCCACCGGGCTCCATTCCTAGGTCACTCTTTGGCCTTTTCGTTAACTCTTTTACATTCTTTTAATTTCACTGATAACAAAATGGGCATCAATAAACAAATATACCTATGTATGTATATACAGTATATATATATATATATATATTTTAGGCGGCGTGATCACTTTCATGCTTCTGCGGTTATGAAATGCAGAGGCATTGATTGGTGTCAATTCAAAGTGTTGCTTTAAATCATTAGTTATCAATTCTCTTGGAGCCACCCAGCATCTCTCTGAGCCACCCAGCCACGCGCACGGACATAATTTCGCACCATTTATGAAGAGTGGTGATGTAGGGACTGTGGAAGTGCGCGTGGCCCAAGACTCCAGGCAGGAAAAAAGAGTTGTGTAGTCACTAACGCTCCCCCTGTCCCAGGCCACGCTTGCTGGGGCAGAGGGAGAGGGGCGTCCTGAAATGCGCTTTCACCAGGGCCTGACATCTTTTTTAAATTTATTTTTTATTTTTTATTATTATATATATTTTAGTGAGTTTTTACAGAGAGGAAGAGAGAGGCATAGAGAGCTAGAAACATCGATGAGAGAGAGACATCGATCAGCTGCTCCTGCACACCCCCCACTGGGAATGCGCCGGCAACCAAGGTACATGCCCTTGACCGGAATTGAACCCGGGACCTTTCAGTCCGCAGACCGACGCTCTATCCACTGAACCAAACTAGTTTCGGCAGGGCCTGAAATCTTAATGGCCTTACAGATAAGAGCCCTGACACTCTGAGGCTTAGATTCCAGAGGAAAAATGGATGCTAACAACCACATAAATAGCAAGACAATTTCAGAGAGTGGCGAGGGTCACTGTGACCAGATGGTGGAGACTGGCGGTTGCTTGTGAGCTGATAGTCACGAATCCCTTGGAGATGATATTTAGTGGAGACTTGAATTATATGGAATGAATAGTGCTTCCAATCGTGATCGCCTCTAGTTTGGGACAAAGCTTCCACGTTTAAGTTCCCTTCTCTAGTTCAGGAACACAAGGCGCCTTACACGACGGTGTTTCCCGGGGGCATAGTTGTTCAAGAGTGATCGTCAGAATGAGCTCCGTGCCTGCTGTTCCAGCCCCTAGCCAGTGCCATGTGTACCCCGAGTGTTCAAACGCTTGCTGACTGAGTGAACGGGATAACATCCGAACCTGAACTTGTGTGCCACCCTCCAAATTGCTCCGCCTAGTGTTCCCGGTCTTAGCCAAGTAACACCCCGTGGTTCCCGGGCAGAGACCAGTGTGTCAGTGCCAGCACTTCCTCACACTGATCACAGAGCCTCCGAGGCTGTCAGCCAGGCAACGAAGAGAACACCAGTATGTAGGAGCAAGGGCACCATCCCAGGGACCTTGGGCCACATACTGTGAAGTGGACCCCTTACAGACAATTTCCTGGCACACGGGGCCACATGAAGCCCGGGGGACGTTGTGGCAGGAGTGGCGGGCTGGTGCCAGGCCCCCAGCCTCCACAGGTGCAGGGATGGGAAAGACTGGCTACAGTTTATTTAGATTTTCTATTTTTGCAAGCAAGGCACACTGCAACCCTCTTCTGCAACCCAGCTGCTCTCTTAGGTAGCTGTTCCTCCCAGCAGCCCACACCTGGGAGTGCTCTGGGCGGGGAGCTGGGAAAGCCTAGGGATGGAGGAGAGGCAGGTACCAGGGAGGAATAGCACCCTCGTGTGTTCAGAGAAGAAAACTAAAGCCTTTCTGTTTGTTTTTATATATATGAAATCAATATATATATATTTCAGAGAGGAAGGGTGAGGGAAAGGGAGATAAAAACATCAATGATGAGAGAGAATGCCTCCTGCGCACCCCACACTGGGGATCGAGCCGGAAATCCGGGCATGTGCCCTGACTGGGAATCGAACCGTGACCTCCTGGTTCATAGGTCGATGTTCAACCACTGAGCCGCGCAGGCTGGGCATAAACCATTTATGTTTTAACAGCCACTTTGTATGAGAGAAGATTGACTTGTCCTTCTGATGTGTTGTTTCCATAGAAGCAGGGCTTACCTTTAAAATGAAGATTATAAAGCTACCTAAGTCAAGTAAAATGAGGCTTCGAGCATATCAGTGCTTAATGCTTGAGTGTTGCTGCGGGACTTGCTGCAGGAATTGATCTGGCTGCCGGGCAGAGCCCGTGGCTCGCCACGTTTGAAGATGATCATTCTGGTAGCAATTTAGTTTATTCTAAAAAATTTATCTCCTTCAGAAGGAGAAAAAACTTCTTGGGTAAGATCACCAGAATATTAATAAATACCTTTTAATTAATGACTAGCATCAGCTCCTCTTCATAACCATGGGAGGAATGGCACACAGGCATGAAACAGGCGCTTTCAATTAAAGTAATTTATTGTAGTCTTCCAGAATGGGCATAAGGGGGCGTCTTGGGGATTGATATCACAGCACAGTGTCATACACCATTCTCACCACTAGCCTTGTGTTGAACTTTTTTAAAGAACATAGTAATTTTAAAAAATCTAAGTATTTACATATTAATAAAACATATATACAGAAGATTGAGACATTATTCATAGACATGGAATAATTTGTTTTTGCTAAGAAAGCCTATAGAAAGGATTTCTGAATAACGTCTGAACAGTAGTCACAGTAAGTAAACACAAATACAATTTTAATTTACAAAATACGATCTCACTCTTGCAGTTGTATGATATGTATTTCCAATTTGGGGATCCATTGCACATACTCGTGAGTTGAACAGTCCCCACCCTCCTCAAGGGGTGAACACTCCATGCCTCGCCCGGTCTTGGAAGGACGTGCTCTGGACGCTTGTGGTGTATACTCAGCAGATGCCACAGCGGGAAGGTGAACGTTTCTACCTCTATTAGCAACATCATCATCGTGTTGTAATAGAGCTGAAAGGGCACTAATTAATCTTGCAATTCCCTTGAGAAATACTTTCTTCTGAGAGGCAGCAGACCACTTTGAAAACATATGTTGCAGAAAAACAAAAGCTCTGTTCACAGTATCTCAACAGCCTCGGTGATCAGAGGGGCTGGTTTCAGGGGAGTGATTACCAGCTTGCATCACATGTATTGATAAAAGGCTAACTAAGGGTGTGATGGAAACAACCACTCTGAACCTCCGAAAAGACGACAAACAAAAGACACACATACATGAGATGAGCTGTCTAGCATTTGGATGGATGCCACAAGCCACACCTAGCACCAGCTTCCTGCCACTGTTGGTTAATGAGCTGGTCTTCAGTGGAAAACAGATTCCTCCCAGAGTGCCCTCCTCTCTCAGGCTTAGCTGCTCAGTGTGATGTAGCACAAGTACCTTGGACAGGGGAGTAAGGCATTTAGGTGCTAGGCCTGGCCAGGTGACTGATGGGTTACCTGGCCCTGGGCAAGCATGACCTCACTCCCCAGCTGCCTCCCATAGTCCTACTAGTAAGAGACATCTACAGTAACTCTGAGCTCTAACACCCTCTGACTCAATAAAATAAGTGCTAGGGAAATGCATTAAACAGTAGCACGATAATTTCCCCCGCCCTGGGGTTTGGTGTTTCTAGTTCACATGTCTTTCAAGTTTTGGCCTTTGGGTCAAGTGCCAAAGTTCCAAGGTAATTTGCTTTATGAAATAAAGGAGGTGTAAATGCAGTGTTTCTACATAAAATGGTATTTTAAATTCATCGTCTTATGAGAGAAAGGAATCCAGACGTAAATATTTCTGTAAAACAAATATGCACATGGCATGATATCTCTAAAATGAATCCAGATTTTCATTTGTTGGATTTTTATAAAGTGGAGTGTAAGTGTACTAGGAACCAAATAAAATATGTAACATTAATAAAATACATGTGTGGCAGGTTGCCAAAACACTGAACCACTCACTCAGGCAAAACCATCTGTCAAAACAGCTGGTAGGTATCAAATAGATAACTGCTTGCTTTGAGTTTCTCACCTTTCAATGTGAGAAACTTTGTCACTGTGTGGATACCACCTCCTAAAAGATTTTTCTTTCATAGGAATTCACGTATCACTTGCCCTTATCCTATATAATAAAGAGCTAACATGCTGATTAGACCAAGCAGCAGAACAACCTTCCGGATGAAGCTGGGACTGCGAGGGCCCAGGCAGCCAGGGCTGCGAGGACTGAGCCATTGCACGAATTTCATGCATCGGGTCTCTAGTTCAGTTACAAATGGTTATTTTGGGGGAACTGACGTCACAAATGATTTCATCTAACAGAGCAGGGCTATCCTGTTTCCCAAAACTTCTTTTTCATCCTTTAAGCTGATGAAGATCTAGTTAATTTTAACAATTGCTCCCTTTTCAGTACTGGAAAGTGCCATTCTCCTTTATAATGCATCTAAGCAATTTTGCTAAAATAAATGCTGTATTCTTCGAAACTCCAAATGTTCACATTGAGGTTATGGACAAAAACAGGGAAGAGAGAGCTGCTTATTTTTAATGGACAATGAACTGGATCAGATGTTGGACTTCAAGGGTGATAAATCAACTCTAGGAATGATTTTTAAAAATCTTATACCAAATTGGAGGCTTGCTTATCACAGTTGACAAAGATAGTACATCAAAACTACTCAAACAGGACAGGTAAACTTCACAGAACACTCACACTCTGCAGCACTCTGAAATGCTAATGGATCTCTGAGGAAATTCAAAGGGAAAAGGTGCGTATGCTAATGAGCATTGTCACTAAATGGAAGTCTAGGCAGTGAAATCTGGCTCTGTGTCTTCTTTGTTTCCTCTCCTGGTGTCAAATATGTTACCTACAACAGAGAAAGAGAGTGAAGGGGGCACTCCTCTGAAAGCAGTTGTACACGTCCCTGACATGGCTGGAGGTAGTCTGTATACGTGAAGAATGGTGTTGGTAAGGTGTCTGTGTTCCAAGACTGTAGTTGTGCTAAATAAACAATTTTAGCCATTAGAAATTTCTAATGATTATTTTTGCAAGGAAGCCCTTGAATGTGTGTCACTATTAGAGAATGTCCATATGTTGTCCAGGAACAGAAAAGAGCCAAATAAAATATAATTTACCTGTAAAACAGATGATCATTCAGCTATTCAAATACGTAACATGTATGAAAAACTGTAATTTTTCAATTAAAATTAAAAGTGCTTATTAGGTTAAAAAATCCAACTCAGGAAATAAAAATTTGTATATTTGATCTCCATTGGCCAAATCAAATATAGAGAAAAGTCTGGAGGGAAAATACCCAATAATTATTGTCTCTGGGTGGTAAAATTAATTTACATTTTCTCCCTTACACTTTTCTTTGTTAATGTTTAAAACATATGTAAAGGAATGACAATTGATGACAAAGACTAGTAGGCCCAGCTGAGCTCTGCACTACTCTATTTCGAATTCAGAAGCCTCCTTATCACATTTTAGGAAGCACTGCTACGATTTTACTTCCTCTATGCTCTTTTTTTCCACAACAAATTGCCCCCAAGTCCTGGAAGGCTTTTGCCATCATCAGCCACACTCTCCACACCAGGCTGCAGTGGTTGGCCTCGGCCCATCGCAGTGGGCGGGGCCCTGAGGGCGGTGTCTGTTCCCCACAACCTAATACAGAGCTGATTCCTGGGAGCTGCTCCAACATGCTCACTGACAGGGCTGAGGGAAAAGACATTAAGGAAATGTTTCTCCACTATAAAATCTCTAACCATTTTTGTTAAGTCTAGACACACAAGTTTGCTTAAATGAAATGGATTGAAACAAGTTCCATTTGGCTGCCAGACTGTAACCCTGATCTTCTAGATTCTGATTCATACATTTACACTCCCCTCTACCCTCCTCAATATACATGAATTGGGAAGAGGAAAAGCCCCAAAGTTAATAAAAGCATTGTTAAATCTTTAACAGCTCAGATAAACACGCTGAAGGAAGTCTGGCCAGTGAGCCTCAAACCCCAGGCAGAAGCGCCTGCACAAGTAAGGTGGGCTCTCCTGGGGGAGCACGCAGGGAGGGAGAGGTTAGTAATGGCCTTGTATTCAGAGAAGCCACCAGACTGGGATTTTACTTTGGTGGCAATCAAGAGACAGGCTATTCTCATCAAAATTATTTAATTTCATTACTACAAAGTTTGGGCACCAATCTGGAAATTCTTTTCTCAATGATAAACAGTATTTCTTTTTCATCATGCTGTTTGGTAGTTTGTTAAATGTCTGCCAAGAGTCTACTGAAAGACTTATAGCGCCATTCTACTCCTGTCTTCCTTATAACCTCACAGTGCTGGGCAACATTCCAGAAAGAATTCCACGAGTTTGAATCTGCAGTGGACTTCGGGGGACTGACGATGGGCATTTTAATTGTGGAGACTATGGGACAGAGAGAGGGAATCCTGAAGGGATTAGCACATCCATGGACTCAGGATCTTTAAGAAACATGCCGAGGAAAGCTGGCTTTGGCTTGGGTGTGAGGAAGCTATGCGGTGTAATGACTGGAGAGGCCATCAACAGCTGTGAGACCTTGAGAAAGCCATTTTAGTGTTTCTGGACCTCAGGCTGTTTTACCTGTAAAATAAAAGGACGGGATAAAAAGGAGGCAGGGACTAGATGATCTCTAAGGTTCCTTCACTCTCAGGGTCCTTGAAACTCTTCAGTTCCGTGAGGGGTGCTCCCATCTCGTGTTCAATTTTCTCATCTGAAACTTCTCCCTGCCTCCGTCTTCAGATATGGAAACACAAAGGGAATGTTTTTCAAGAATAGTAATTTTTAAAAGCCCACTGTGTCCGATGCCAGTGAGGACAGGCAGTGCGAATGCCCTGGGGCAATGAGCTGGAGTGGGAGGAGCCTGGACAGCACAACCAGGGCTGCACGGCATTCCTCCAAGGGGCCTCCCTGAATACAGTTTCATTATTATTAGTGCAGCTACTGGGAATGGGCCAGGGGTGATACCCACATGGCTACTGTGAGTTGTTCTGATATTGGAGGACAGATGGGAAGGAACAGTAGAGATCATGCATTTCCATTCTCTTAACTCATAAATGTGGAAACATGGCTAAACAAGAAGAGAAATCCCTTTATGTAATGATTATATGGTAAAGCTTGATATAAGCAGGTCCTTTGTCATTTGCCCATTGACCTGTTGCTTAGCTACTCAGTGGCAGAAAGGACTGTGTTGTTTACATGGTTGAACTTTCTCACTACTCCGATGTTCTCTGACATACGTCTGTCCCTCACCCGTGAACTCTTGGACGTCATCCCAGGGTTAAGTGCTACCAATGAACACATGACCTGGTGGAGTGCTTACACAGACTAGCTGCCGATTTCCATTTAAAGCTTACCAGCCACATCTAGGGGAGAAAACACGGCGGTGAGCTTTTCCACTTAGGATTTTTTGGGGCAGCTGGGTTTTGGGGGCAGAAAATCTTCATGCATTCTTTTGAGGGCAGGCAATAGAGTCATGAGGCCAACTGAGGAATACATCGTTGGCCACACGGCCTGTGGAGTAGACACCTGTCTCTCTGGCTCTCAGGTACGAACTGATGCAGAGGCAGGGGACCAGGGTCAGAAGGATATCACTTGAGAGTTAAATAATGTGGCCAGAATCATGTCTATACTGCAGCAGGCGCTTCGGTGAACTGTTGCATCGGGGCGATCTGGTTATAACATTGGGAACGTGACACCCATGCCAGATGCACCGGCGTGTTCAGTCACTCAGTTAAAACACGACATTCACGAGGCGCCCGCTGTGTGAAGAGCTGTCACTGCCCGCCGCTCAAAGCCCTTTGGAGCAGGTGGGAGAGGACAGAGTGGACATGAATTTCATCATAAAACTGGTGATCCCTGTTCTAGAAAGAAATGTCATATCATGTTAAAGTATTTTTTTAATGTCCAAAGGTTTTGGGAGGCAAAATCTTGTGACACTAATTTCTTAGGACTTGCTGTTCTGAGGTTTTTAAGAATATAAAAATGAGAAAAATGGAGCTTTTCGTATTCACTGTGACAAACATGTCTGAACACAGGGCATTGAGCACCTCTGATTGCAGTCTGGGTCTGTTACAGAAGCATTCTGCTCAGGCATCTGCATCTCTAATGTTAAAAACATTTTCAATGCAAATATTTTCCTGTGCTGTATTTTCCAGCAGGTGATGAAAATGTAAATGTGTTTTACCTGTTGGTGGTAGAGAGATGCTGTCCAGTCTTTCATCACCGTCAGCTACCTCTGCTGGTTACAAACATAAAACACAAATCTCATTAGTTTCAGGGAGCACATCCATTTCACAATTTAAAATCTCCACTGCTAGTGTGCATAGGAGTTTTCACCTTCCCTTTTCCTTTTCAGCTCCAGCCAGTTCACGTTACGGATTTTAGTACAAATATTTAAATAAGATATTTTAAAGATGAAATAAAATCAATTTCCTGTATCAAATATATATTTTAGCTTATGAACCTTATTCTTAATCAATGGTGATTTCAGTGCTTTTCTCTTATTTACATTGGCTTAAATATCCACCCAGATTTGGGGGTGAATTGTTGAAATATGATGCATGAGGTTAGTGAATTCTTGTGGTAGATATTCGTTTGTCATTTCCAGAACCATCCTGTGGGGTGGGCTTAGGAAATCTTGAGAATGACTCTTTCTTTGGAGATTACTGGAAATTCAGATCTTAGAGCTGGCAATCTAAGTTGGCATCAATTCAGTCATAAAGAAAATCAGAAGGAATAAGCACTTCTTTAAAAGAGCCATCACTTCTGTTTTAAAATGCAAACCTTTGCTTATCTCTGATATATTTCAATCTCCTTACGAATTTTTCAAAGATAGATCTTCAGTCACAGAAAACCTCCCACTACACCTAAACACAGGTGGCCATATTCTCCCGAGAACTGGAGGACTTGTCTGTCTCCCAGCATGCCACGGGACAGGTCAGCACATGCCATCCTGGCTATCTGCCTGGTGTCAGCAGTGCTCCTAGGCCCAGGGCCAGTGGCCCCGGGGGGAGCTCCCTGCATGTGTGCACAGGAGACTCGTCAAATGAGGACTGCATTTGTAACACTTGGTAATGCTCAGCTGGGAAGCAAGCTAGTCCTATGTTTCTTGTGTTTTGTTGCTGTTGCTTTAAACACAACCAGGGTTCAAAGATTTCCACTCTAGTCCACTCTCTCACATTTTTTTAAAACATATTTTATTGATTTTCTACAGAGAGGAAGGGAGAGATATAGAGAGATAGAAACGTCGATGAGAAACATCGACCAGCTGCCACTTGCACACCCCCTACTGGGGATGTGCCCGCAACTCAGGTACATGCCCTGATTGGAATCGAACCTGGGACATTTCAGTCTGCAGACCAATGCTCTACCACTGAGCCAAACAGGTTTTGGCCACTCTCTCACATCTTGTCCCTCAGACTGAGACACACTGACTCAGTAACCCACAGTCTGCAGACCAGCCCAATCCACCACAAAGAGAAAACACTGAGAAGAGAAAGACTAATCAAGACCAATTTGGTTAAAAAAAGAGTAGAGCCGAAACCGGTTTGGCTCAGTGGTAGAGAGTCGGTCTGCGGACTGAAAGGTCCTGGGTTTGATTCTGGTCAAGGGCATGTACCTTGGTTGTGGGCACATCCCCAGTAGGGGGTGTGCAAGAAGCAGCTGGTCGATGTTTCTCTCTCATTGATGTTTCTAGCTATCTCTCTCCCTTCCTCTCTGTAAAAAAATCAATAAAATATATTTTAAAAAAAGGAGTAGAAACCCCTAAAAATTATATTGCAGATGAATATTTAACAATAAAACATTCAAGTCAAGCAATAAGACAAATGGTAAGAAAAAAATTTTGTATATAGATTTACAGATAAAATACAGAACGAACTAAACTATTAGTAGTGTTCTTCTGAATGAAAAGCTTATAGGTATTTAAAATTTTGTTCTTTGGGTTTTTATAATTATTCTGTACATTTAAAAAATAAATAACAAACATGTTATTTTTATATTTGGAAGATATTGTTTTCTTCTAATTAGTTTGATTGGATTTGATAGGTAGATGAACTACATGATAATATTTTCATTGACTAGGACTAAAATTTTTTTAAAGTATATTTTTATAGATTTCAGAAAGGAAGAGGGAGAGGGAGAGAGATAAAAACATTAGTGATGAGAGTCATTGATTAGCTGGCTTCTACATGCCCTGACCAGGAATTGAACTATGACCTCCTGGTTCATAGGTCAACGCTCAACCATTGAGCAACACTGGCTGGACTCATTGTCTAGGATTTATGATTCTCCAGCAATAATAATAGCAATGCTAGCCATCATCATTTAATGAGCACTTGACTTTCATTGAGTCATCTAACCCTTAGAAAACTCCACAAGGCAGATCTGTTATTATGTCCATTTTAACAAATAACACTGAGACAGAGAGGTTAAGAAATGTGCCTGCCGAAACCGGTTTGGATCAGTGGATAGAGTGTTGGCCTGTGGACTGAAAGGTCCCAGGTTTGATTCCGGTCAAGGGCATGTACCTTGGTTGTGGGCACATCCCCAGTAGGGGGTATGCAAGAGGCAGCTAATTGATGATTCTCTCTCATGAATGTTTCTAGCTCTCTATCCCTCTCTCTTCCTCTCTGTAAAAAAATCAATTAAAAAAAATAAATGTGCCTAAGGTAACATTAGCTAGTAAGTGACACTGCCAAGGATTTGACTCAGGTTTATACTTGAACTCTTAATCTCTTTGCTATTAATCATCCAAACATATATCACATATATGACTATGAGTTAATTTTTAAATCTTCAAGTTTCAGTTCATTTTATACTTGAGTAATTTTCTCTTCTTTCTATGTACAATTTCTTTTCATTTAGTTATAACAAAAATAGGTTTTAGGTATAAGTTGATCTTCCCTTTGTAATTAAGTTATCCTCACTTTTAAAAGCAGGCCTATGCAATTGTGTGCTTTAGTAAGAACAGAATACATGTAAACAAAAACATGTATAAGTTGGTATATGCCAGCTGCATGAACAGGGCAAGGGTCATGGAGGAAGAACATGACTGTGCTACTCAAATTTAATTATAACATCTGTCAACAACAATGACCTCACCATCTTTCTTTCCTGGTGACAGTCAAATTGTAAAATTTGGAAAAGATTGAGAAAGTCCAATAAAAATTCAATAGCAGTGACAGTTTTACTCTTAGATCTAACACACACACAAAATTGCAATTTCAGCTCTGAGGAAATAATCTAATGAAAATGACAAAAATCCACACCACGAAAGGAATCATTCCAGTTATAGAAAAAAATTATTACATGTAATGAGAGCCCCAAATGAATTTCTGTTTGGATTCATATAACAACCTTTCAGAGCTGCATGGGGCACTTTTTCAAGAGGCAGTTCGAGCTTTCTTCCTCTTTTTTTGTTGTTGTTAAGCCCCACCAGAGAATAATTTTCCATTGATTTTTAGAGTGAGTGGAAGGAAGGGAGAAAGAAGGGGGAGAGAGAGAGAGAGAAACCAATGTGGGAGAGACACTGGTTGCCTCTCTCATGCTCCCTGACCACGACTGGGGATTGAACCTGCAACCCAGGTACATGCCCTTGACCATGGCTCTAGTTTCCATTTGCTGGGGTCCCACTTTTGTGTTGCTTGAGGAGAATGAAGTATCACAGGATGTGAAAAAATGGGAAGACAAACTTATTTGGCAGGTCACTGCTGATGGGCGGGTCTGTTCTGTTTGTTAGGGTTGTATTCTGTAGATGCCTTCCACATTTAAAAAAAAAAATCCTCACCTGAGTATATGCTTTTTTTTTTTTTTTTAATTGATTTTACAGAGAGAGTAAGGGAGAGAGAAAAAGAGAGGCAAACATCAGTTGGTTGCCTCCCACATAACCCAACCAGGGACTGAACTAGAAATCTGGGTATGTGCCCTGACTAGGAATCAAACTGGCAATCTTTAGGTGAATAGGACGATGCTCCAACCAACTGAGCCACCCAGCCAGGTGGCGCCTTCCACTTTTGGATGCCAAACCCACCGGTCAAAGTGAAAATGTTCAAAATCAAGTGTGACGAGAACTACGGAGCAGTCCACACAATGTTCTGGGCACGTGCAAGGCTCCCCGGAGGGAAGGGCTGGGAACAGTCTACGGTCTGGGACCCATTCTGTTGAAGCGGGCATAGGTGTGTGAAATGAGCCTGTCATGTGATTCACTAATACAAACACGGAGTTGGTTGAGAAGTGTGATCACTGGTCAGTGTGTGGGTCAGAGAAACAGGAATGGGGGAGGGAGGAAGGGAATGGAGACCAGAACTCATAATAATTTGTCTTAGCATCTAAAATAGGAAAAAAGGTGTGTTTAAAATATACAGTATGTATAAATATACAGTATGGGGAAACAGAATTTAAAAGGTCTTCCTATTTCAGTCACATGGCCCACTGCCAGGAAGGCTGTCTCTGTGCCTCTCCAATGCACTCAGCAGACACTCAACAGTCTCCCCACCATTTGTCTTCAGTGTTTCAGGTCCTTCCGGGACTTGTAATCACCTCCAGCATGGACACATGTTTTGTCCACACAGCCCACCACCTTCCTCTCTCTGGGTTTCTCCGCAGCACCAGGTTAGTAACATCAGCATTCTGGACTTAGAGTTCTTTCCCCGCAAGCCCCCGAGGAGCGCCAAGCATTTCCCCACTTCCCATTCCCCGCCAGCCCTGGTGAGACAGGAGGGGACGGCCGCTTCCGCGACCGAGTGGAGAATGTGCCGCCCACCTCAGGCTGGAAGGCGGGGGCACAGGTGGGGCGCGGGGTGGAGAACTGGTTCTTGCTACTTTGGCCCTTTGCCTTTCCTTTGGGCCGAGTATTAAATTTAGGTCTCTTCACTGTGACAACTTTAGATCTCTCTCAAACTTCAATATTAAAGTTAGTGTCCCTTTTAGGGGGATCAATAATCAAATGGAAGTTCTTACATACCCAGCAGTCAAGATCGCCAAGGCAGAATTTAGGCAACACAAGACCAACTTAATCCTAGCAACCACACCGCTCAGGCTACATACTTGAAATCTGATTTAGGATATAAAAACAGAAGAGACACAGCACTCAATATGGTATTGGTGCTTAAGCACTGCTTACTGTGTAAAATGATTGGGCAATTGTCTTTGATAACACTTGTCATTTACTGTAAAATTCCCCCCCCCACCCCCCACCCCAATCCTTTCCTGGAGCCTGAAATCTAAAGGGGCTAAAGGAATACAAAGAGCCTGGCTGGTGTAGCTCAGTGGTTGAGCACCGACCTATGATGCAGAAGGTCACAGTTCAATTCCCGAATGGGGCACAAGCCTGGGTTGCAGGCTCAGTCCCCAGTGGGGAGCATGTGGGAGTCAGCCGATTGATGTTTCTCTCTCATTAATGTTTCTATCACTCCCTCACCTCTCTCTGAGATCAATAAATACATTTAAAAAAATAAAATAAAGTAATACAAGGGGTTTTGTGAGGTGGCCAAGGCTGAGGCTGGCGGCCTCTAGCTAAGAAGGCATAAGAGTCCCAGCTGACAGGAGTGAAAACTCAGTTAGCCTCCCCTGTGAGGTCAGGCAGCATGACACAAGACTCAACCCTTGGCGGAGGAAGGGAGGAGAGAGGAAATTAGGAGGGAACCATGAAGCTGGGGGTGCAGAGAAGGAAATATGAGAAAGAGCTTGAGGAGGAGGAAGAAAGGGCACTCTGGATCCCCTCAGGGGCCCTAAGGATCTTGTTCCAGAGAACAGAGCTCAGGGATGGTGCTGCCCCGTGGGCTTCGGGGTAAGTATTTGAACCTTGAGGAAGGAACTGATGAAAGAACGTTCTCTAGGCTCTCACAGGAACTAGATGAGCTAAACAGTAAGACTTTGCCGTGGACTATTTTTTTTCTTTCCCACTGATCGATTCGCTGGTTCATTTGTTGGTTCCATGCTGGGCCACACGACGTCTGGGACAGGAACATGACTCAGAAGCCATTGTGCTCCTGAGGCTCTCATGGTCCCTGCAACAAGCAGGTGGCCGGCTCCTCCGGCGTCAGAAAACTGAAGTGCTGCACTGCCCGAGAAGGCCGCAGGAGGGAGAACTGCTGCTAGGACAGGCAGAGGGGAGGCATGAGCTGGGCCCTAGCCGTTTGGATCGGTAGATAGAGCATCAGCTTGCGGACTGAAGGGTCCCAGGTTCAATTCCGGTCAAGGGCATGTACCTTGGTTGTGGGCACATCCCCAGTGGGGGGTGTGCAGGAGGCAGCTGATCGATGTTTCTCTCTCAACGATGTTTCTCTCTATCTCTCTCCCTTCCTCTCTGTAAAAAATCAATAAAATACGTTAAAAAAAATGCATGTGTTGGAAAACCTATCATATTTCAGAACAGGGAGTGTCTGAAGATGAGGCTGGTGACTATGAAGAGCCTTGTCTGCCTCACTGAGGGCAGCGGGTAGTGTGTAGAAGGGGATTTTACTCCGGGGGATAGGAAACTAGAAGAAGCATTTAGTTGGGCAGGTGAGACCCGATCTCATTAGCTGAGGCAGAGAATGAAGTCTAGGGTCTCGGGCCATGGCCGTCTCTGGGGCTGCACACCTGAGAGCCACAATGCCGGAACAGTTCACGTGAAGAGTGAGGATTTAGAGTGAGAAAAGAAAGAAGGACAGAAACTTGGGAATGCTGGCTTTAGGAGATGGGTGAAGGAGAGGCAGTGAAGGAGACCGAAGGCATTGCCAGAAAATGTGGAGGAGAAACAAAGAGAATGAAGTCATAGAATCCAAGGGGAGAGAGCTTCAAGAAGGATGAGGTTCCACAGAGTAAAAATCAAGATGGAGGTTAAGTCGGAGTGTTAACATAAATAAAGTGAAATCTGGTCACTGGGATGTGAATGCAACAAGAGCTCACATAGAAATGAGGCCAGAGGGCAAGGGACAATGGATTCTAAAGTGAACTGGGATGGGGGAGCCCACTCAGGGATGCAAATCTACTTAGAAGAATTTTGACCAAAAATAATGGGAGAAAGAGAAGGTAGTGGCTTTAAGAAGTGGCAAGGATAAAGGAGTTGTTTTGCCTTTGGTTGGCTACGGGAAGGAAGATAAGGTTATGAACATTTTTTGAGTATCATTACGTGTCAGTTCTCTGTTTCTGGCAATACTTACATTGTCTAATTCTATCTCTGAAAACATCCCTGAGGTAGCTGTTAGCCGTGTTATATATAAATGAAGAATGCAGGGCTGCCAGGGGTTGAAAAATTTGTCCAAAAGTTCCAGGAATTTGTAAATGGCAGCTCAGGGCTAGGACTTCAAACCGGTTCTCTCCACTCTATCATGCTCTGTGATGCGTAGTAATGAAGGAGAGGAGGCAGGGAACACTGAGGGACTGGGGAGGATGACCAGATCATTTATCCAAGTCTGAAACCTTGGAGAGTGAAAGGAGCCTTATTAATAGTTATGCTGGGACAGCAGTGGGACAGCAAGGCTGCCCAGGCATGCAGACTGCCGGTCCCCACGGGGATGCGAGGACCATGGGCTAAGACTGAGCGACCTCCACCGTCAGGCACTGCCGTGTATGACGTAATCTCAAAGAAGCTACACTAGCTTCATTTGTAAAGACATTCGTGTACACCATGTGTCTGAGCCTCTCAACTCTGAGGTAGGCTTTGTTTTTATGTCCACTTCATGAGAGGGACACTGGGGGTTAGAAAGATGGGTGACGTGTCCAGAGCAGGTAAAGAGCAGCCGTAACACTTGAAACCAAATGTTCTGATCCCATTATGACTTATTATCTGATATGATAATACATATTTTTTCCAATTAAAAATATTAGTAGTCATAGCACTTTCACAGGTCCTCCCCAGGCAGCGGGGCCAGGATTTGGTAGCTGGTGCTGAAAGAAAACCGTGAATGCATCCTTCTCCTGGGACTGTGCCAGTGGTAGCTGTCACTCAATGGCACAGAGGGGGGAAAAATTAGTCTATTGCTCTTTATAAAAAGAGCATCAATTAAATGTAAAAGAAAACGATTTTTTATTTTTAAAAAATCATCCAAAGCTAAATATTTTCTTTTTCAGACATGACCTTGGGACCTCGTGCTTTGTAAATTGCTTATATGACTCTATCACAGGTAGGTCAGGGGATGCTCAGGTGGAGCTTACATAGGTGACCCCATAGCTGAACATTTTAGAGTCCTAGTAGTGACTTTCAGAGAAAAGGGCCATAAGGTTTTTCATACTGAAAATCACTTAGTCCCTGAGGCCCATGTGTCTCAGTGATGCTGCCAGGGTCTTCCCAGCCTGTGCCAGGAGCTCTCCTGAGGCCGACAGCTGTGCTCCTCCACCGCTGGTCACCGTGACTACCGCTCACTGCGAGTCCCCAGACTTTAGGGCTGGTGAGTGACATGGCCTCATGCACTGTACTGCTTACTCATGGATCCCATGCCACCCAAGCCTGTAACATATCAGCACCTCAGGTATGTCTCAGACTTGAGCTGCAGAGCACAGGTGGTTCTGAGCAGGGCAGACACTTAAGTTTGATCAGGATTTTAAAAATAGAGAGAAAAATAGAGGTTTGCGACCGCCTGGAGGTGATTATTTTTATGTGATAGCGGAAAACTGACATCAATGGGACGCCTCACTGCTACACCGGCTCTCTGTCACTGGGGAGGCGGAGACTTCAAATGACTGAGTAGTCATAATTCAATCTGTGTTCACTTTTCCTGGAAGAAATTCCAGAATCACCAAGCCCAGATGAAAAAATGTTTTAAAATAAATATTTGACTTAAAATCTCTATTTCATGTGGTGTTTCAGGTGGAATGATGTGTGTGTGTGTGTGTGTATGTTTTTACCTTAAATAAATGAAACATTTTATAAAGTTAGGCAGATTCAAACAAACAAAAATCAATAGGCAAGGAAAGCAAATCACAACAGAGACTGCCTTTCCTCTGTAAGAATGTAAGCCCACAGACGAGGTTAGCAATCTTTCCCCTTTGTACTGTTCAGAGTGAATGGCCTGATATATTTTCACTATTTAATCTTCAGGTGAGTTTCAAAACTCATTTGAATAAGACTTTAAAAAACAAAACCACGGCATGTTATGTAGCACATCTCCTTCAAAAGCCAAGGGACAGCCGAGCACCCGAGAGCAAAGCTTGCACTTTGCAATGCCTGAGAGCTCAATGCAGGGCTCCTGTAACTGTTTTCTCACAGTGTGTCCGTACCTGAGCCTCTTTTTAACCTCCTTCTGGCCAGTTTAATTTGATCCTGTAGAATCTGTACCCAGTCTCTCGGGCCAGGAAGTTTATCCACATGATTAGCAGTACAGTACTTTTCTGTGAAGACTGAAAGAAAACGTGAAATATTGTTAAATGCTTCAACAAGTAAAACAGGCAGATCCAAAATAGAAATATATCAAAAGAAGAACATACATATATATATATATATTGCTAAAGACAAGGGTTCTGCACTAGATAGCTTCATTATCCATATTACACCCCTGTGGTGGGGGTGGAGCTTGGCAGGGCCCTGACTATAAAATGTACTGGGCTTCAAAATGAAACCAGCTCTGCACAGTATTTTTTATGGGAAGTGCCTTTTCTAAAGTGCCTTATGGAAAGTGCTCCATGTCCCTGAATATGTCTTATGAGCAGAGAAAACGCTTCCTATGGGTCCTCTGGCCCCATGACAAAATTCAACAACTGTATTAAAACATTTCACCTTTTAACTAATTCAAAACCTTATGCAAAATTATACAAAAAAGATGATGTTCTCATGGTTACTTCTACTAACTCAATCAGTTCTCAGAATAAATAGAATGTAATTGTATCTTTTTTAAAGATAAATTTTCATTGATTTCAGAGAGACGAGGGAGAGGCAGAGATAGAAACCCCGATGGGAGAGCCTGTGACCTCCTGGCGCAAGGACAGATGCTCAACCCACTGAGCAACACCCGCTGGGCAGAATGCAGTTGTATCTCAATGAAAGTTCCAATTGTATATCGAGTCAACTCTTGCGACACTCTATTGGCTTCTGGGAAAGAGCTATCTATTAAGCACAAAAGAAACTATGGAGGATGACAGAGAGGCCAGCCATGATCTGACTGCACAGACAGGAGCTGCGTGGACGCTGCTGCTCCGCACGCCATTCCTGAGCGCTTCCCAACGTGCCCTCCTCTCTGTGGGTCAAGACCAAGTGTGCGCTCACAGGCCGCTGCCCGCTTGGTGTCTGTAAGATGTGGCCCGGCTGGCATGGCTCACGGCTGACCTATGAACTAGGTCACCATTCGATTCCTGGTCAAGGCATGTGCCTGGGTTGCGGGCTCAATCCCGAGTCGAGCAAAGGTTCTCTCTCATTATTGATGTTTCTATCTCTCTCCCTCTCCCTTCCTCTCTGAAGTCAATAAAAACATATTTAAAATGTTGGTAATTCTAATGTTTTAAAGGCTTCTTTTAAAAAGAAATGACAAAGGAAAATGTTGATAGATTCAACTACTCTGTAAAACTATAAAATTTCTATTGAGTAGAAAATAAACACCACATTAGAATGAGAGAAGCTAACTGCGCTAAACGTAACTGAGAAGGTTCAATATCTATCACCATACAAAGCGCTCACTCAAACAGAAGAGCAACTTCAAAAGTCTCTATAGTTAACCAACAGTATTTAGCATTAGGAAAAATGTTCAACAAATCCGTAAGCTCCCAAATTGCAAAAACACATTTTATACCTACTAAATGAGAAGAGCAATGTTACAAAGCTAATACTTAATATTGATAAAATTGTGCGGGCCTGGCATAGTCAATCATCACTGTTGGCATAAGCTGGCAAAACCTTTCTGGAAATAAGATAGTAATATATAATCAGAGGCATAAAACTGTTACACTTTTGCATTGGAAATCTTACTCCTAGAAATTTATCCTAAGGAAATAATCTGAAAGAAGGAAAACATCCACACACAAATGTAAAGAACCCAGTCGTGCGGGAGGACCTGGGTGGCAGGGGAGGATGGATCTGGGAGGGAGAGGAGGATGGATCTCTTTGAGGAAGCTACTGCCATGTCAGTTAGGGCTGCGTGAGTGAAGACGGACAGGTGACCAGAACTATATATGGAACAGGTATTTCTGCTCAATCACATGACCTGGCAACTATAGCAGAAAGGGAGGTTTGTGAGGGCAGAGGCAGGTGTATTAGGCTTGGTTTGGGACATGTTGAGTTTGGGTCCCCATCCCTATACAGAAGCCTACAGTTCAGGGAAGGGTCCAGGCTGGTACCAGTTTGACAGGCACAAACATACACGTGGGAGTTGAAATGAGAGAAAAAAACCTTAACCAGGGAGAGCCCATGGAGTGAACAGAGCGCCGGGCCAAGCACAGAGCAGCGAGAACCCCAGTGGTTGAATGGAGATTAAGGCACAGGGGTCCATGGAGGACCCTAGGATGGGCCAGAGTGTGGAGACACAGAGGGGATCCTGTACAGCCAGCGAGTGGTGCTGACAGAGGAGGACCCACAGTTTAAGTGCAGAGGGAGGGCCAAGAAGGGAGGCTTGGAAAGTGTCCACTGAGGGTCATCAAGGAATAGTGGGGTGGCCACAGAGGACACACTCAAAAAATGGGGTTCAGTGGAGGAAGGGAGAGAAGGGCTGCCAGGGGAGGAGGGCTGAGGGCCGGGAAACCTGAGCATGCCATCAGGCTGATGGAAACAGCCACGTTGTGCGGGAAGACAGGATCCAGGAAAAAGGGAACCATCAAAGGGGAGGGTCAGGCTAAAAACGGAGGGTCACCCTCGAACAGGAGGGGCTTCTTCCTCTGGCCCCAGAGGAAGGGAAGACGGGCAGGCTGAGAAGTGGCTACCAGCTGGAGCAATCACTCCCAAGACCTCCTTGCATGTCCGGTGCGGGGAATGGAGAGTGTGGGGAAAGTCTGGGGCAGAACAGGAGTCGGAAAGCAGCAGACTGAGGATGTGAGGACACCAAGCAGGCCTGTGGAGTTGGCAACAGCCTGTGGGGGCAGGCGGTTTCCCCCAGGGCACTCTGCAGCTCCTCTTTGAGAGCGGAGCCACCGGATGGTGGGGCTGCTCCTGGGTTGGAGTCTAGCGGGATGGTCTTGGCAGAAGTGCAGGGATACAAAGCACCTGGAGATGCCTGCCACCTGGAATGAACGACCTCAGCTTTCCTCGCTCCCCCTTCCCACACAAACCTGGAACGAAGTAATGCAGGAAAAGGCTCGCAGGCCTGGAAGAATCTAGAGACCATGGGATGGAAACACCAACAGGGTTGGCAAGGCGGTGCCGTGGAGTGAGGGCAGTTGGGAGTGCGGTGCTGAGTGTCCGTGGCAGCGAGCAGCCCTGGGTGGGAATGCTAAGGCGTGCTCACGGGTGGGGCTGAGGGAGTCAGGTGAATGCAGTCGAGGTGAACGTCACTGGGGATGAGGTCGGCATACTGCTGGCTGGGGCCATACTGCTGGTCCATCAGATGGACCTTTCACGTGAATGGGGAAGTTTTCCTTGATGGCAGGGCGACGGGGGAGTGCGAGGCAGAGATGTAGCTGTGGTGGAAACCTTAGAGGAGAGGACCCAGCTCAGCCCAACTGAGCAGAGGAGTGATGGTTAGGAAGCAGAATTAAAGATCAGGGGAAACACCACTCAGGCTGCCCAGTATATGAGATGTGGGATGGGAGATACACAGAAGGAACAATGCCTCGGGGATGGGGTTTGCTTTAGAATCTCCCACACCGGGTTACAGGCACCTCAGGGTCTTCATTGATTTTGGACCCCCACAGCACCTACAACAGTACTTTGTACCAAGAACACAATAAACATTTGATTTGTATTTAGCACCCTATTCGTTTACTTGAAGGTGTGTACCACCGAAAGAACTGAATACACTGTCTTAGCAGATAAACATCTCCCCCCTTGCAATATTATTTATTTAGTTAATTTCCATAGCAAGCCCTCTTCCCTTAGGTTGTGAGATGCAGGGGTACAAATTAGCATCCATTAGTAGATTTGGGTTATGCCCACATCAAAATGACGCCCAGCCACTGCGTGTGCCAACAGTCGGGTTAGGAGAGCCAGCGGGAGCCTGAATGCTGCTCCCACGCGGGGAGGAGCTTCCGATAGATCTTTTGAATCCAATCGTGCGCTCAGGTATTCGGTCACTCCTAGAAAGGCAACCATCTCTGGTTGTTTTTTTTCTCTTCAGTTAAAACCCACTCAGCTTCAATAAGAAGCCAGGAAGCCTCTGCCGCCCGCATCTGTGTCTGACATCACTGAAGGCACAGCATACGGCTGCTTGGAAAACACCTGCACAACAAATAGTTCCACTGCGCCTGCTGCTGACATTCTATTTCTGGGGTCACATTCATACTTAAAAGCGACTTTTACCTGGAATCCATCTGCCGAAGAAGAAATCCTATTCTGTTGCAAGTGCAGATGAGGCCTTAGGCCAAAATATTGTGATTGTATTGACCTGAAAACGCTCAATATGCCACGTGAATAGCAGTATCGAGTAAGCAGAATATATTTTTGCTATCTGATTCTATAGCTAAAGGTCAAGCTATTATCCTGGTAACAGTTCCATTAGGAGTAATGATGTGAAAAGAGGTACTGCATTAATGTACTGGGGTTCCTACTATGTTAATTGCGGCTCGTTCAGAATCATAGCAGAACAATCTGCATTCATCCTTAGAATGCAATAGGTCCTAAAAAGAAATTTTCTTCCTTTCCTATTTTACATATTAAGGGGAAGCAAGGGCTAATTTCAAACAAGCCCAAGTAATCTGAACAAGTGGATGAAGGCCAACAATTTAAAAAGAGTTAAAGCATCTTCTCTGCTTAATATAATTTGAGGTCCCAAGGCACAAAGAATGTGTTAAATCACTGGAGAAATGACAAATGTTCAATTTGATCTGTACATGAATAATGACTTTTCTCAGCTGTTTGCATTCAATTGAGCCATGCTCTTTAACTGCATATAAATAATGAACAGGCTAGTGGTGGCTGAGCAGATCCTCCCACCCCCAGGAATGTGGCATATATCATAATCATCAATGAACACAGCAGAGGGTGGCGTGTCTGAATGCAACACGCTGAGAACAGAGCAGCCTGGCCGGGTTCCCCCAGCAGCTGTGTGTGCACACAGCTCCGTGAGGACTCTATCAGATTTGTCTGGCTCTCTGTGCTGGGAAAAGCAGAATATGGGATGGGTTTTTAAAGGCAGTCATCGGATCATACAGACATTTAAAGGGGCAGGAGTACACAGCAGAGCTTTAATTTCATTGTGAAATCCTCTAATAAGGCAAAAACTCTGGCCAGAGCGAGTGCCCAACTTCCGATCTGATGACTCAGT